GCTTATATGAGTCACTGTCATTTCTTATAATTGAGTAATATTCCCTTGTATACATATACCAAATTTTAATAATCCACTTATGAAATGATGGGCACTGGGTTGTTTCCACATCCGTGCAATAGTGAATTGTGTTGCCATAAATATTCGGGTGCAGATGTCTTTTGCTGTTTGGGGTAGATGCCTAATAGTGCTATTGCTGGATCAAATGATATTTCTGTTTTTAGCTCTTTGAAGTATCTCCAAATTCTTTTCCACAGAGGTTGCACTAATTTGCAGTCCCACCAGCAGAGTAAGCGTGTTCCTGTCTATCTACATCCTCGCCAGCATTTGTTGATTTGGGATTTTTTGATAGAGGCCAATCTCACTGGGGTTAGGTGATATCTCATTGTGGTTTTGATTTGCATTTCTCTAATGATTAGAGATATTGAGCATTTTTTTCATATGTTTGTGGGCCATTATTCTGTCTTCTTTTGAAAAGTTTCTGTTCATTTCCTTTGCCCATTTATTGATGGGGTTGTTTGATTTTTTTCTTGTTGATTTTTTTAAAGTTCTAGATAGATTCTTGTTATTAGCCCTTTATTAGATGTATAGAGAGCAAATATTTTCTCCCATTCTGTAGGCTGTTTGCTCTAAAGATAGTTTCCTTGGCTGTGCAAAAGCTTTTTAATTTGATCAGATCCCATTTATTTCTGTTTGCTGCTGATAATTGTTTTGGGGGTCTTCTTCAAAAATTCTTTGCCTGGTCATTGGATAAAGAGTTGTTGAAACTTAAAACCAAAAAAGAAAAACTAGCACATACACAATGAATATATCAGAAAACACAAACAGCCATCTGAATATATTGCAGAGCTATCCTGTGGGACATCAAGTGAGTAGAAAAGATTTTCTAAGATCTATTTGAAAATTATTTTAAAATGTACATCCATTAAAGTTCCCAAAGTCAGAAATTGTGGGTCCAATTTCTCCTTATGTATTGGTGAAGCAATGAACCTGGCAATTCACACAGAGGCAAATACCAACACTGTCAACCCCGTTTATATGAAGTTACCCAAGAATTTTATAGGCCCAAGTTATTACTCATTATTTTTAGATTCTTTTCTTTACTAAGTTTTAAAATTTTCGTGTGTTTTTTACTCTTTTTGTTTTTCTCAAGGAAGGTGGAATGTAGATTTCTAGGATTTGAACACTGTGCAAGAACTTTCTGGTCCTCCAGTCCAACTCCTCATTTCCAGCTGAGGAGGCAGGCCTGGAGCGGTGAGGCGCCTGGCTGCAGGGCCCACAGCCCCTCGCATCTGAAGAGGCCAGGACAGAGGCATTTCTGAGCAGCAGCTGGGGCCGGGTAGAGAAAGGAGGGAGGCTGGATAATCAGAAAAGGACTTCAGGAAACCAAACCAGGAGAGAAGTCAGAGGAGGGTTGAATGGAGGATGCAAACGGCTCACAATGCACACAGAGCCTCAAACAGGTGACCTCGCCCATCCTGTCGATAGTCACTGGGCATCCCTGTGCCCCGGACAGGAGGCCGAGAGGCAGGCAGAAGGCTAGACTTCACAAAGAAGTCCGTCTCCCACCTTGTTCCTGTTTGTTCCAAAATCTTTTCCGAGAGGAGGCAGATTTCTGTGCTGTCAAGACCTCCCAGTTTCTCTAAGGAAATCGAGAGGGGTGACAGTTGGAAGAGGTGAGATTAAGGGGACAATTAAGTCCTTTCAGCAAGGCGAGGCTACGAGTCGATGTTGGGCTGAGTAACGGCTGTAATCTAACCGCAGTGGTTTTCCCTCCATGACGATGTCGAACACGCTTGTCACAGTGATCCAGCCCCTGCCACTGGATGGCGGCACGTGACCCGCTCTCCCTTCTCTTTCAGTCTCCGAGCTTCAGGAGGAGGGAATGAATGCCATCAACCTGCCCCTCAGCCCGATCCCCTTCGAGCTGGACCCTGAGGACACGATGCTGGGTAACTGTGCCTCTTGTCCCTTTGCATTTGCTTAGCGCCCTCGAGTGTACCCACCCCCACTGAACCCCTTTTCTTTTTAAAGAGGAGAATGAAGTACGAACGATGGTGGACCCAAACTCACGCAGTGACCCCAAACTTCAAGAACTGATGAAGGTAAGAAGAAATTGGGGAAATTGAGTCTCAGAAAAGCCAAATGGTTTGTTTATAGTCATAGCTGAGTGGAAGAGATAGGATGCAAACAGAAATAAAGGAGATGAGCCGAATACTGTGCATCACGTACCTGCACAGTGGCAGGCATGCAGTCACCCCTCCAAAACTGTTCCTGTCTTCTTCTTCTTCAACTTCACCAAGCTGCACTTAAGACAAAAAGGCACTGGATGTCAGAGTGATTCGTTCCCAACGCAAATCTGGTGTGTCATTTTCCTGCTCACAACTTGTCTGTAGTTTCCTGTCCCGTGGGTCGCAGCCCACACTCCTGCGGTGGTGTTGGGGGTCTATGCTCTAGCTGCCTCTTCAACCTCAGATCGGCCCTCACCTGGCATCACAGGGACACCAGACCTACTCACTGCCTGTTCCAAACCCCAGTGCCATCGCCCAGGCCCTCCCGCTGTCGTGGTCCCTGTGTAGCTACTCAGGCACTTCTCTGTCTCCTTTGCTAAATGGTGAGCTCCCTGGGGTGAGAGACTGTCTCGTTTCCTTGTATCCCTAGAATTCAGCACAGGATGTCACATACAGCAGGCGTTTAGTGAACACTGGAGAGAGGGAGGGAGGAGCTGGGTGGCTGGGTAGGAATCTCAAAAGCAGCCAGGCTGTGCAGCAGTAGAATCAGGAGTATTGTCCCCATGGTCAAGGGCTCCTCAGTAGAACAAACCCACATGAGAGTTGGGCCATCTCACTAGGGACTGAGGGTAGTCTTCTCAGATGTATAAATGTCCCTCTGTCTGTTCCCTGCCTGAGTCTGTGCCCTTACCCCAGAGTCCAAGGGACTAGAGAAAGAAGGTGCCCCGCCTGCCACGCGACCCCTTACATCTCTGGGCTGCAGCCTGAGCCCCACAGGCGGGCTGGGTTGCGTGTGTGGGTATCTGCCCTTCCTGGTGCCGTCTGTGCTGCAGCACGCATGGCTGCCCCCGGCCCAGTGCGCCCCCGAGCCCTCATGTTGCTGTGCAAGGAGAAGGTGGGACAGCTGCAGGTCACGGCTCTGCCTGCCGTTGTACCTAGGTGCCCAGGGTGCTGGGAAAGGGTCTGGCCCCTGCTTGTTCCTGTCAGAGGGCACTCACCGTGCTGGCATGGGCATGCCACTACTTGCCCAGGAGACCTCCGAGGGTGAAGACACGGTCAGGGCAGGCCCCACACAGTTCAGGCATCGGCACTGATCCCCCAGACCCAGACCTGCACCTAGGCCCAGTTTGAGGGAGGGGAAGATGGGAGACGTGAACTGCTGCACATAGGCCCGAGCCCCGCGGTACGGTGCAGAGGCACAGCTTCACAGCACAGGCTACATCCTCACTTCCAGATTCCAGGCTGCTCTGCCCACTGTGAAGTCCTGCCCTTCCTGGTCAACTCTAAGAGTCTCCTCAGGAGCTGGGCATGGTAGCACGGACCTGTGGTCCCAGCTACCCGGAAGGCTGGGGCGGGAGGATTGCTTGAGCCCAGGAGTCCAAGGCTTGCAGTGAGCTGTGATTGCTCAACGCCTGGCACACAGTAGGCTTCAAGTTGTGACAGCTGCTAAGATAGAAACGAGAGCGAGGAGACCACACCTACCCCATGAGAGGTGTCCTGGCTTGGAGAGGAGGCTGTGTGCTTCAGAGCAAGGTGGACGAGGGTTCCACTCCGTCTCCACCCCTAGTGAGCTCTGTGACGTTGAGTAGACCTGTTTACTTCCGTGCTGATTAACCCTCCAGAACATGGGGGTGACAGTTACCGCCTTGTCATAATGGGAGAGTGCTTTATTAATAAGATCTGCATTCACTGAATATTTGGCCTTTGCCATACGTAATATTAATACTTTTTCACCACCTAACGTAGGAGATACTTTCATGCTCAATTTTAGAGATGGGAAACAGAGGCTTGGAGAAGATAACTAGCTTGCCTTAGATTGACAGATCACAGGGGAGTGCACGCGCAAGTCCATAGGTCACAGAAGAGCACACAACCAGTTAGTGGGTAGAGCTGGGTTTCAGCCAGTTTGTATAGCTCCAAAGCCCATCCCTTTGCCCGGCACAAAGCCACATGGCCACACACTGTGAATGTCACTTGCCATTATGGTAAGGAATGGTAGGGGCCAGAAGAGATTATCCAGGGACACTGGTGCCACCAGCTCTAGAAGGACATACACCTGAAAATGAACAGGGCCATTGGTGCTCATACTCCCTGGGTCATGTGGATAGTTCTGCTGCTTTTAAAATCTGAAGTTCATTTAGATTTTAATTGTTCAGGATAAGAAAGCTGGTCTATAAGAAAATATCCCATAACTCTTACTCTCTCTCTAGGTATTAATTGACTGGATTAACGACGTGTTGGTTGGAGAAAGAATCATCGTGAAAGACCTGGCTGAGGATCTATATGATGGACAAGTCCTGCAGAAGCTTTTCGGTAGGAGAATTGAGTGTTGCAGTGGGTGTCTTTGACCCATAGGTGGATGGATCCTGCTCCTAGCTGTAGAGTTACTCTCAGCTCATAGCAGCTTCCCTGGGAAGGGACTATGAATGTGTAGAGTGTGAGATAACAGGTCAGTGAGGGCTTTAGATGTCCTCTTAGAATCTGTTTTTTCACCTGAATGAATTGCAGAGGGAATCCTGACCTGATGGGCCTGTCCTTCTAGCAGCCAAGATCAGTTGGGTAAATGAAAAGACCCCACTGTATAGCTGGAAAACACACCTCGTCCTCTCCAGAACATTGTACATTTGTGGCCTTGGTTGGTGTGTTTACATGTGGCGGTGCGAGCATGCATTTTTAGACTTCTGTAATCTATAGACCTGTGTGTATGTGTTCCTCCCTGGGTAACTTCACAGCTGTTCATGTGAAAATGTAAGGCCAAAGCAGAATTCAGAGATAATCTTAGTGTTGAAAGGACAAATTCAGCTTAAATGAAGTGGATTTCACTGTTCCTGATTTTGATTCTGACCCAAACCTTCCCCTCACACACGAGACTCCAGTTGTTAGCTGCCCACTAGGTGCATCTTAGACTGAATTCATCTACTTTTCTAAAGCTGTTTCTTCTCCTCTCAGTTAATAGAATCCCTTCCCCTCTTCCTTGCCCCCATGTATATGGGTGTTCACGTAGGCCCATGTCTTCTTGCTCAAAAACCTCTTCTGAAATCCATCCTCTCTGCCATTGTCACTAACCTGAACTACCGAAAACCTTCCAAACTCACCTCCACTGTCTTCCCTACACAACTAGCTGAGGAACTATTCTAAATCACAAGTCCAGTCTTGCCAGCACTTCCTTCTAACTCTCCGTGGCTCTCTCCTGCTGGACTAAGTCCAGACCCCTTGGCACAGCATTCAGAACATTTTGTCATCCGACCCCCAGCTGTCTTTTCAGCCTCACCTCCGGCCTCTCCCACACATGTGGCTCACGCAGTGTGGTAACACGTGTAAAGTGCTTAGAATAGCGCCTGACGCATAGTAAATGCCCAGTAAATGTCATCATTGTTGTTGGTTTTACTGTTTTTATGTGTATACACCATTGCTGCATTATTACACAGGCCATGCGTATCAATACCCCTGTACCTTTGCCCACGCTATTCTCAGTCATACACTCTTCTGTGTTTCTCCCCCTCTCTGCACATACGAGGGACTATGTATATTTACACACACATGTGTATATGTAAATATACATCCCGCATGAGATTTCCCATGTTGCTTGGAGCTGTTTACATAAATGTACATGGGCTTCTCAAAGGCAAGAACCACGTCTCATTGATTTTTCCCAGGTTTCACCAGCACATGTTGCCTAGCACTTAATGAATGGCTAATATAAATTCTAGTAATTTCTAGGAAGCTAAATGGATTTGGTACTTGGACATCAATATTAATGAGTGTTGATATTTGAAGATTCGTAAACTCCAACTGAGTAGAGAGAGAAAATGAAAAAGGTTTGGCACACATAGACTTGGCTGAGCCGGGAGCCTCACTGAACATCTCTCCCAGTGACTACAGCATTTAACTTCTCCAGCAGATTTCTAGTTAGGATCTGAAACTGTTGAAATGGTCTATTCTAATCTTTCAAAGCAAAGGCGGAACATGGTCATGGAGTAATCTTGCCTCTGGGAATGGTTACAAAACAATCCAGTGTCATATCGTATGTGATGCCAAGTTAGGCATCACATACAATCAGATTATTTCCAGCCTCAACCTTCATGTTGAAAAGGTGATTCACTACAGAGGTGATGCTTCTTTTGTAAACTCAAGTTTAGAGCCTAAACTTAAAGGTCTAAGGCTGGACATACACATCCAAAACCTATAGGCAGGACACCCAGGTGGACAGAACCAGTTTGTAGTAAAAATATCTATCTGGAGCTCCTGGGAGGGATCAGTCTGGAGGCAGAGTTTTGAGTGACTCCTTTGACCTTGAGTTCCCCTGGACCATTTTTCTTATCTCTGATCATGTTAACCTCTATCCCATGGTTAAGGTAGTAGCTACCAGATTTCTTCACTGGAAAGTTACTGTTTTTCTCTCTTTGTAATTATTTGGGAGGAGATACTTCAAGACCATGCAGATATCCTGTTTCTCCTTAAACTTCTCCCACTAGTTTTAGCCTCCACTAGTGGAACGTGTCTGCTGCAATTATGGTGTCCCAGTGGTGATTATCTCTTTATTCTTTATGCATTTATTAATTATAATTCTGCTAAAAGGAGGTGTTATGTTGTCGTTCCCATGTATTTATTCATTTAGTTATTTAATTATAGCACTATGGACATAAGGATATTTATTTTATACTTTTAGTTTTAACCCAGTACTATAACTGTTCACATTTTTGCTCATCTGCTTCTAGCTTTAGCCGTTGTTGGGTTGGCTCGTTTTTTTTTGGACAGTTGTTTTTTTCTTTTTCTGCCCCATATTTTTTTTCTCAGCACTTACTCCAGGACCATCTTGTATTTTCCTTGCCCAAGTCCTGAAATCACCCATTTCTCTAGGGAGCCCTGATTTCTTTTATGAGAGAAAAGTATTTAGATATCAAGATTTGGGCATAATAGTGGGTGTTAACTTGCTCTCTGCAGCATAAATAATCACACATCTATAGCTAGGCAGAGCGCTCTCAGCTGGTGGTACTAAGATGAATGAGGCATGGTCATTTCCAGAAATTCAGCTTTCCAACTGTGAGAGGCCTCAAGCCTCCTTAAGACTGAGTTGGTTGGGCAAGCAGAGTTGGAGGACGCTGAGCTCGACATTAGTAAACTGTGAAACATCGGCACTTGGAAGGCGATGGAAAGGGCATCCGAGCCTCCAGTAGGTGAAGAGCACACGCCTCGCAGACATCAGATAAGGGTGTGGAACCCAGGAAACAGTGCTGACGACACTGTGGAACTACGACTCAGAACCTAGAAGCAGAAGGGAGCAAGATGCCAAGGCAGGCATCTCTTGGCAGAGGGTTGTGTGTGTTTCATAGTTGTGATGAAAGCCTGAACAGGTGGGCGTCCTTGAGATGCCAGGTGGCCTCGGCTGACAAGGACTGGCTGGGTGTTCCCTGATCATGAGCTCTGTGGGAGGCAGCGGCATGCCTGGCTCACCTGTGTGTGGCCACATGTTTCTTGCGCACAGCAGTGTCTGGCCTGCTGGCAGGAAAATAGCCCTTCTCAGAGTCCCCAGGCATTTCTGGTAGGTTCACTCGGAAAGCCTCTTCCTAGTCCTTCTTTCTTAGCTGTCTAACCCAGCTACCCTATTGCTGCCTGTTTTTCTCAGTCTTTCCACCTGCCCTGGCAGATCTCAGTTTAGGTTTTCCTAAAAGCAGATGCTGAGCCAAGGACTTGGGTGGAGGAAGCTTATGGGAGGTGATCTTAGAAAGTACAAATAACCAAGTGGGGAAAGTAAAAGGGGAAAAGAGACATGCCGGTTGAGTATGTTAAGAATAGCAGCTCTGTTTCAACCAAGGCCCATAGCTGGGCTTTCTGAGAAACCAAGTGACAACACATCTCAGAATCACAGAGAGGCAAGGGCATTTATGCTAGGGCTTGTGGTTGAGGTTTGTCTGTGCAGGGAATAAAAACCTCCAGGCTGTTCTCCTGTGGAGTCAGAGGAGAGGGCCGTCAGGGTGCTGGGGGCTGCCTGCAGCTTCAGGTGAACGCAGGTGGGCCAGGAGCTCTGGGAAGGGGTGTCAGCATCATCCAGAGAGACTAGAAGGTACAGCCACCTCTGCTGTGGGGCTGCCCCTCCTGCCACTGGCCCTTTCTCTGTGCTATTAGTGTCATCAGATGCTGCCCCCGCTGGCCTGCCTCCTCATGGCACCCACTCCCACCTTCTAAGGGGAGCAGCTCTGGCCCCTTTCACACCTCAGAGCAAAAGTTTCCCAGCCCCAGAATAGGGAACATCCTCCCCAACCCATGCAAAAGATTCACCCCATTTCTTGCCCAGGATTACCCACTTCCAGGGTGATGGAGGGAGACAACATCCTCCATTCCCCCCAGAGCATACTCCAACCCCATGGCACCAACAAGAAAGTCACAAACAAAATAATCCAAAGTTAGAACATATTTCCCAACATCTCAGTTCTGCAGGTGTGTGTTCACAGTCACCCTGTACTATTTGCATCCCTGACACCTAGGCAATAGACATGACTGAGTCAGAGAGACAGGAAAATGCCTGTTCAACATAATTCATCATTTCATTTGAACATGAGCCACTGCCTTTCTTTATTCCCCCTCCACTGCCTGTTTCTTATTTAGGTATCCTGATTTGAGATGTCTATGTGAGTTTCCTTATGGTGTGTTTTAGTTGACTGATTCTTATCTTCGAACATGTGCATGTGCTAGGAACAGAACAGACCTGTTTTCAGGGATGAGAGTCATAAGGTTACAGGGCTCTTCCTTCTGGTTTTCAAAACATATGACTGAAACAAGATGTCTTCTTCAAGCCTGAGAACAAGAAGGGTCCCTTGGGCGTAAAAGTTCTTTAGGAGGGTGGTTTGGTTTTGTGTGTATGTATGTTCAATTTTCCTTTTCCCTGATAAACCCTAAAGGACGCATCTTACTCTCCTCTTAATCTAGTCAAATAGTTTACCCTAAGCAAAAACCATTTGGTTTGCTATATGCTAACCACTGAGTTCAGGTATATATTAATAGCTATCTTAGGTGACTCCCAGCCTGGAAGTACAAAGGGCTGTGGGAGATCAAGCAGGAGTTTGGGGAAGGTTTCAGGAGAGAGGGGGCATTTTGAATGGGCCATAAGGAAGGAGAAGGAAGGAAAAGAGCATGCTAGCTAGCATGACAGAAGGTTGCCGGGAAGCCTCTGTTGATTTCGGTGCTAGTGGATGGAGAACAGCGTAGAGACAGGAGTAAATGCCAGGTGACCATCAGGGTTGGCTGAGTGGGATGTGTGGCTGACAAAGACAACAAGACCCAGCTCCCAGGTCTTGGTGTCTAACACCAATCTC